AGGCGGCAGCGCGCTAGGCCGAGCGCGGCCACGCCCAGCGTGCAGGCGGGCAGCAGAGCCGAGGACAGGAAGCGCGCCGCGCGGCAGGGCGCGGGGCCCAGACGCACGCGGCCCAGCCCGGATGGCGGTGCGGCCAGCAGGCCCAGCGGCATGATGGAGGCAGCCGCCAGCAGGTCCACGATGCATAGGTGCACCAGGTAGAGCGCGTCGCCCAGGCCTGGCGTACGCAGCACCACGACCAGCAGTGCGCTGTTGCCCAGCAATGCCCCCACCTCCAGGACAGCCGCCAGGATTAACCCCACCGAGCCTGCGACTTCTGTAGCGTTCAGCTCTGTGGTGTTGGCCATTTGACCGCTCAGGCTTCACCCTGTGCTGGGATGCAGAGAGTAAAATGGAGCCTCCAGTTCCAGGTTTCCCATCACCTGTCCGTTGCTTCTCTGGTCCGTTGCTCACCTCATAGGCTGCACAGGAGGTGGCTCCGTCGCCCAGGCTGCCATCCTCTTGGGGGCTTGGCCAGCCCCATGGAGGGTGCAAGGCTGAGCCTGCTGGCTCTCTCCCCTGCCTCAGCCCAGCTACAGCAATTCAGCCTCTGCTGGAGATGGTACTGGCTGTCACTCTGATGTTGCCCTTTAGAGAAACACAAAGCTGACAAGGGAGAGAGGCAGGGCCTGTTGCCAGCCGCCTGGGTCCTAGCAGCTGCCAGCTGGAGGTTGGAGGCTCTGCTGTGGAAGTTCCTGGGGCCCCCAGCAGGCACTGGCTTGCAACCTAGACCTAAGAGGTTAGAATATGGGCTTCGGAGTCAGAGAGACCCTGCAGTGCCTTTCCCTGTGGTGGGAAGTAGCCCCCCATCTGCTTTCCTCCCCATTCCCATCAGTGGGGGAAAGGAGATCATTTAGCCCTTGTACTGAAGGGAGACTGAGTTACCAGTGAGACAAGAGCTGGAGCAGGAAGACCCTTAGGAAGACCCAGGAAGACTAGTTGTCTCGGAAAGAAAGGAGACTGGGAAAGTGGACCTGGGAAATCACAGGGCATGCCACATAGTAAGTGCTCAGCCCATATAAATGTGGTACAGAATAGTTGCTCCATGACAGTGTGTGGAATAAATGAGAGGAGGCAACTGCTGTTTGTTGTTGTTTTGCTGCTAGCAAACAAGTTCTGGTAAGAGCACCCTGAATTGTCCGTCCCCAATTTTCAGGATCTGCAGAGTTTGGTTGAGCAAGATCCCCACCCTCCATTTTCCCAATTAGGCACAAAACCCAATCCTAGCCAATGAGTGTATGGCATCCGCCCTCACCCCAAGGTGGTTGTTCAGGAAAAGCCGTGTAACTCAGTGGTGCGCATGCCCCCAGGTGAAGTCACTCGGTCCCATGGCAAAACCCCATCTATACCAATAGCTTGCATTTGTATCTTTCTCTCCCTTGAAAACCAGACTTGGATACCCAGCTGCCTCTTCAACATCTCCCCCAGTACGTCAACTAATGGGCATCTCAAACTTCTTGTGTCCAGAAGAGAACCATGACTTTTGATCCCTCCCTAACCTGCTCCTCCCAGAGTCTTCTCCATCTTAGTAAACTCCACTGCAGGAGGCCTTCCTTTCCCCCATGTCCCATAACCAATCCATCAAGTTCTCCTGAATCCAACCATTTCTTACTACCAACACTATTACCCGTGTCCTGGCCACCACCACCTCTTACCTGTATCATTCAGCATCCTTCTAACTGGTCTCCTGTCCTCTGCTCCTGTACCTGGTGCTGGCCATTTGTCTGTTCACCCTCAGATCCATTCTCAACCCTTCCCCAGTGCTACTCTGCCTTCCTAGGAACTATACTTCCAGGCTCCTTTACCAACTGGCTTTGGGCATGTTCAGCCAATGGCAGTTAGTAGCAGAAGACTGGAGAGTGGGAGGAGAGAAGAAGCAGGACATTTTCTCTCAAATGTTCAGCCTGGGGCTCTGGCTCTACCTCTGTGGAAGACGGCCTCTCTTCCCATAGTTCTGGCTCCCTCCAGGCAGACCCCTTCATGGTTCTGGCTCCTGCAGGGTGACCCTGGCCCCTGGGGATCAGAACACCATTTCCTTCCATTATCCCCCAGCCTTAGGGTGGTAGTGACTTCCTGCTATTGCTAATCTTTGGATTGCCTCATTATCCTGTTTGGTAGTTCAGTTTTTTCTCTGTATCAAATCGTCCTTATCTGATATACCTAGGGTGATTTCTGTTTTGCTGAGTGGATCTTGACTGACAAATACCCTACAGTCCACTCTCCACACAGCAGCTGAAGTGGATCCTTCTAAAAACGAATCAGATCGGGTTATGATCCTGCTCTCATCCCTCCAAGAGCTTCCCGTTATCAGAACAGAATCTCAGCTTCTCTGTGCCGTGAGTTGGCCTCCATTATCTGCCTTTTCCCTACCTCTCTGAGTTCACCCTCCTCCTTGCCCACTGTACTTCCAGCCACAGCAATCATCTTGCTGTTCCTCCCACCTGTCAGGCCCGTTTCCACCTCAACATCTTTGCACTTGCCATCCCCTCTGCCAAGACACTCTTCCCTCAGATCTGTCCATGGCTTGCTCTGTCACTTAACTCAGCTCTCTACTTGAGAGAGGCCCTCATTGACCATCTTTTCTAAAATCATTCCACCTTACCATCACTCTAATCCTTTCACCCTGCTTTATTTCCTCTCCTGCAACTTTCCCCACCTGTTATTATATTCCATCTGTGTGCACATGTTTGTTTAGAGCCTCTTTTACTAGAATGTAAGCTCCATAAGAGCAGGGACCTTGTCTGGGTCTTGCTCGTGCCTGTGCTCCTAGAACCCATCACAGGCAGGCAGTCAGCATTGGTACAGAACTAGATGGTAGAGTCAGGGCATGGACCTCCTGGTTTGACTCATTTCATTCTGGAATTTGAAGGGTCTCAGCCCAATTCTCCATTATTCGAATGAGAAAACTGGGGCCCAGAGAGGGGAGGAATGTGTCCTTCCTAGATTGCACAGCTGAGTTGGACCGGGAACCCAGGTGCTTTCTAGAGCTCTGTCCACACAGACACCCTTCTTGTACTTGGCCATAACTTGAATATGGACGTTTCCCTCAAGAAGGTGAAGCTGGATTTTTGAGGTTTGGGTTCAGAGGAAGGGGAAAGGCCAACTCCTCCTTTCTCTTTTCCCTGCCCAAACAGGCCTGCAGGCCTGGGACAGCCCCTGAGTCACCAGGGCCTGGGGAGAGTTTGGGGGGCCAGGTGGGAGTAGCAAAGTAGAAAAGTGGACTGGGGAAGGCAACAAGGAAGGGATGGGGTCTATGGGGGACTGGAGAGTGCATACTCCCTCCAAAATCATTAAAACAAATTAAAAACTAAAATACTTTGTGTGTGTGTGTGTGTGTGTGTGTGTGTGTACTGCAAAAGAAACACAGGAAGGATAAGCCAGAAAGTAATGAAAGTGGCTCCCTCCAGCAGGTGAGTGGGAATGGAGTGAAAGGGATAGGAGGACTCATCTGAGTGCACCTTTGATAGTTGGGCCTTTGAAACTATGTTAATGATCTACATATTAAAAACAATAAATTAACAAAGATGGGGAAAAAACCCTAAAAGTGAATATAAACAGAAACAAATGAACCTACCTGTATTTTAAATGATTAACATGGGCTGGCCCGTGGCTCACTCGGGAGAGTGCGGTGCTGATAACACCAAGGCCACGGGTTCGGATCCCATATAGGGATGGCCGGTTGCTCACAGGGTGAGCGTGGTGCTGACAACACCAAGTCAAGGGTTAAGATCCCCTTACCGGCCATCTTTTAAAAAAAATAATAAATAAAAATAAAATAAATGATTAACATAACCACACTGGGGAGAAACAAGGAACTAATCCAGGTAACGTTTGAACCTGTGTTCAAACTATTACTTTGAACAGTGACCCTCAGTCTAAAGACTAAAAGGTAATCTTGAATAAGATTAAATAACTCTTGAGCTCGACTTAGAAAGTTTGTGTTTCACAATGCTATGGGTATAGCAATTCTGAAACTCCTTTTTGTGTAGGATCAATCAAGCAAATAAGTAAATATATTGATGTTGATAGAAACAGGTTTTTACTGTTTGAGAAGGGAGCACATATGGAATTGGGGAAGAATGGAGGAACTCTGTGGTGTTTGGAACTAGAGAAGTAGACATAGATTTTGTTTGTTTGTTTGTTATATATTTACATTTACATGTTTCCTAGCTCTCTTTGCTGAAAGGACTTAAAAACAGTGACATTCTACCAAAGAGCACATCTACTGCCCAGATCCTGGATTGTAAACATTTTCTGCTCCAGGGAACCAAGGCTACTTGGAGAGATGGCTGATTCCAGGTTTGTACAAGATGAACCTGGAACATCTTGTGATGCCAGAAAGTAAGGAAGTGCTCAAAAAACGATGGGGACACAGAAAGGACCTTCGGCTGGCCAAATTTGGACAATTTGAAAATAAAAATAAATAATGGCAGTAAAGGATTATAACCCATTGAATAAAATAAGAATCCATGAATCTACACTGATAATAAAGGAGAATATTTATTAATAAATATAAAAGAAATGATGGAATTGGATAATTACCATTTGCATCCATCTAAGAAAAAGTTGATTCAGGTAACTGATTTCAGGTAAATATCATCAACAGATAATAAAGCTAGCGGGTGAAAGTTGGTGAGGAATGGAACATCTATGCCTCACACACACACACACCCTACCCACCCTGGCTATTTTCCCACAGAGTACTGATTAATTATGGAGGGGAGGAGTGGTAGCTTTACAGTGGAGAAATCTGGTGGACACCACCTCAATTAAGTGACCAAAGTTAATTAACATAACCAAGAATGGGACATGTCCCTCCCGATATAGTTCACTGAGGGCACATCATTTATGTCATGTTCCCGCCCATGCAACACCTGAATCTAATCATGACAAAACATCAAACTCAAACTGAGACATTTTATAAAACTGGCTTGTACTCTCAAGAGTGTCAAGAATATCAAAGTTATGAAAGAAAATAAAGACTGAGAACATTTCAGATTAAAGGAGACTGAGACACAACTAAGTGCAATGTATGAACCTAGACTGGATCTTGCCCTGCTCTCTAGCACCTGCACCTCACCTGCGGATAGGGTTACCAGGGGTGACAGCTGGCATTCCTGCCTGAACAGTCTCCTTTCATGATTGAAGAGCTGTGCCCCTTTGACATGTGTTCAACTTGTTTGTAATGTTCACATATAAGATGCACAGGGATGTCTGGTGCCAAGACGTGTGGCATACTTAATTCACCTGGCAATATCTGGGCCAAAGGACATGATCACCAGGTGGGTTCTCAAATGACAAATAGTTGAGTTGATGGTGAGGGTTCCCTTTAGAGGAGGCAGATGGTTGCAGTGATGAGCCAGGGTAGGCAGGGTGTGTGTGTGTGAGACCCACATCAACTCGTGTGAGTGCCCGCTCCCTGGAGTGGGGCTGGAGCTGCTACGTGCTGGGTTACCATGGAGACAGTGAGGCCCAGACCTGGTGCAGTCGTGGCACACACAAGCAGAGGCTAGGGTGAGAAAACACCATGTTTAATATACCTTCCTGCACACACCTGAAGTTTAGCTTGCCTTGGTGACCACACCTCTCAGACGTACAGTTTGGGCCAAGGTGGCAGCCTGGGTGGATGTGGGATCCAACCTCCTCTGAGCCTGTGCACTCTAACCACCTGGCTTTGGGTACATTGCTGCATCTGCGTCCCAGTAATAAGCCCCCCACCACACCCATCACCTTAGGAGGCAAGACTCTGGGGCCGCAGCTAGGCCAGGACTAACAGGGATTGGAGAGAAGGGGGATTGCTGTCTGGAACACAGAAGGGCCTGGCAAGAAGGGATGACATGGGATCCAGCAATCCTTCTTCTGGGTATATATCCAAAGGGTATGAAATCAGTATGTTAAAGAGATAACTGTACTCCCATGTTCATTGCAGCTTTGTTCACAATAGACAGGATATGGAATCAACCTAAGTGTGCATGAACAGATGAATAGATATATGTACACAGTGGAATACTATTCAGCCTTAAAAAAAGAAGGAAATCCTGCCATTTGCAACAACGTGGAAGAAACTGGAGGACGTTATGCTAAGTGAAATAAGCCAGGTACAGAAAAACAAATGCCAAACGATCTCACTTATATGTGGAATCTAAAAAGTTAAACTCATAGAAGTAGAGAGCAGAATAGTGGTTACCAGGGATTGGGAGATGTGGGTCAAAGGATACAAAATTTCAGGCAGGCAGAAAGAATAAATTCAAGAGGTCTATTGTACAACATGGTGACTATAGTAATAACACTGTATTGTATTCTTGAAAACCACACACAAAAAAAGAAGGGCTGATATGGGGGTACCAGGGATGGGCAGGAAGATTGAAGATCATGGTCCAGCCCCTAGCAGGACCCTAGGGGGCAGGGCAGGGCAAGCAGCTCAGAGGCGAACCTCCAGAAGGTAGCGCAGGCAACACTGGCTCTCCTGGTAGATGAGATACTCGCTCTGGGAGAATCTGGAGCTGCTGCACTCTGGGCAGGGGATGGGGTGGCCCTGGGGCACCACTACTCGCTGGCCATCCAGCTCCAGTTCGGTGTCCTGGGTTGGATCTGCAGGGCATAGCAAGGGCCATACTAGTAAGCCCTGCTGCTATGTGCTCCATTTCTGCCACAGGGAACACCTGCTCATTCCCACTTTGCCGACCTCCAACCCAGTGCCTGGACTGGGCCTTCGGCCTGAAATATCCTCCCACATTTCCCTCTGGGAAACTCCTACTCGTCCTCCAGTGCTCAGCCAATGACACCTCTCTTTGGATGGCCAGGAATGATTTGTTGAACCAGTGGATGTTTGTTGAATGACAAAGTGAATGACTACAGTGAGGAAGACTGCTTCTTTTTGTCCCTCTCCACACCCTTCCCTGTTCACCTCCTCTCTGAAAATGTCCCAGTGCCCTATCTTAGCTCTACCTCTATCCTCAGGCCCGTCCAATTTCCTGGGACTCACCAGGCTCTGTGAGGCCTTGGGCGATGACACTGTCGAAGCTCGGGGGCGGACACTTCAAGTTGGGATTGTCAGTGGTGATGTGGTACTCTTTGCCCAATGCCACCTCGCCCAGGAACATGTAGCCGATATGGTGGGCCCCGCAGTGCATGCCAGAAACTGGAGGACACAGGCAGGCTCAGCTGTGGTAGCTCAGTGTCCTGCCTGACTCCTGGGGCCCTCTCTGCTGCCATGTTATCTCCTCTGGTTTTGCTACCCAGCCCAGAAAAGTGCTCACTGTCTTCCAGCCTTAAAACACCATCCTTGTCCCTGCCTGCTCCTTCCCACCTCATCTGGCTCCCTCCCTCACTCCTGGCTCCCCGAGCCAAGCCTCTGCACCCTCTGCCGTCCTCACCAAGGTTAGTAATGGCCTCCCAGTGACTAAACCTAGGGAGGGGGCTTTTCTTCCTGGCCTGCTCTGCTGACTTTGCTACTGACATCTTTCGTCCCCTCCCCTGGGAACTCCCCCTTGCTCTGGCTCCCCTGTAGCCCCCCCAGCCACTCTTAGGCTTCTCTGCCCTCCTGGTGGACCCCATGGTCTTGAGAAACCTCAGACATCCTAGAACTTCAGCTCCACCTGTCCTTGGATGAATCCCTGGACCTCACTCTCTTGGATGGGTGGGTGGTGGTGGCCTCCAATGATGGGGTCAGACTGAACTGAGGAGCCAGTCCAGGGAGGTCACTTCAGGGAGGATGCTCCTGGCCAGAAACTTGAAAGTCACTGGAGACACCTTTTACCTGTTCCCCTTATGCTGCTGTCCCACCTCCTACACATCCCTCTCCTGGATTCTCTGCCCTCACACCTCCACAGCCCTAGGCTGGGTGCCTGTCACATCAGCCTGGATGAGAGTATGGCCTCCCTGCAGCCTCTGGCCTCTGCCACCTTCTCCACAGCTGCAGCCACTGAGATCCTGCTATATACAAGTCCAACTGGGCTCTCCATCACTCTCTGGATAAGGCCCTCTTGATTGTCTCAGGTCTTCAAGACACCCTGCCCCCATCAGGCATTGCTCTAAGCTTCAGAGTCAGGAAGTGCTTGGAAGTCCTGACCAGCTGCAGCCTCCTGGCCTCTGTGCCATTCTCTTGCCTTGAAGGTTTCTCTTTCACCCTTTCCTGGGTCTGGTTGGTGTGTTCATCCTATCTGCATTACCTCCTCCAGGAAGCCATGCTTGACCACCTGCACCTCCTCTGAGCTGTGCCAAGCCTGAGGATGCCCCATTGAAGACTCTGATCAGTAGCCATTCAAGGGCTCCTCTCCCGATCGATCATGAGTTTCCAGTGGGCAAAGACTGGCCCACTCCACATTAGTACCTTCACACCCAAACAGGGCTTGGCCCAGAGGGGTCCCTCACCATAGCCAGCTGACTTGCTGTTCTCCGAGGCAAAGTAGATGCCCTTGCCAACGCGGCCACCGGAATGTGGCATGATGCGGAGCCCGCTGGTGAGGATGGCGGCCACCACAGCCACATTGGTGCCATGCCACAGAAGCTTTCGATTACCCAGCTTGGAGTGGGCCTGAAACCTGTCTCCCTGAGCAGGGGAGGAGGTGGGAAATGGGAGAGTCATGCCACCTGAGGGCTCAGGCACCTGTCCCTGCTGCTCAGATGGTATGACCGAGGCCTAGGGCCCCTCTCTCTGGTCACTCACACACACCTCACGGCCTGGTGGAAATTGGTCGGAGTTGCTAAGTTGACTCCCTAAGGAGTTGATAAGCCAAGGTTATCTCCCTAAGGGTCAGGGTGGTGATGGGATAGGGGGTTGGGGGGAATCTCACTTACCTCCCCTTTTCTGTTCACTTTCCAAGCATGTTGAAGGGTAGGGCACCTGTGGGTGCTTCCAGTCTTTTCTAAGTAGGTCTGTATCACCTGCGGGGAGAGCAGAGGCTGGGTGCCAAGGGTGGGGGACTCATGGATGACCCCCCTTTTGTCCCCCTCATCCCAGAGCTCTCCAAGCTCCAGAGACACAGGGAGAGAAAGCTGAGGGCAGGTGTGCAGAGGGCATGTGCCCACTATGAGCCCAGCTCCTCTGCGAGGCCAAGCTCACCTTGTACTCAGGTGCCCCAGAGTCCAGCAGCTGGAGCTGGCAGTTGAGAAGCTGGTAGTTTCGGTCCAGAGGGTGTGGAACCTCCTCCACTATCTTCTCCTCCTCAGGGGCTGCCTGCAAGGTCTGGGCCAGCTCGATGTCAGCCAGCACCTGATGATGGCCACCAGCAGCTCGTCTGCCCACTTGACCTCTGGGCCTCCCCTCCCCTCTCCCACAAGACTGGTACCACAGCCACCTCACCTGTTTGTCCACTTGTCCACCCCCCACTCCACCTATCTGTCTGGCCATCCCCTCCCCTGTCCTTCAGCCTGCCCATCACAGTCCATCCCTCTGGGCCCTCTCAGCCATCTGTCCCTCATATCCTTTGTCCAGTCTGTCTGTTTGGTGACCCCATCGCTTGCTGCCCACTTGCCAGCCCTCACCAGCAGCATGTCCTTCTTGGCCTGAAGAAACTCGGGGGAGTTGATGGGTGGGGGCCGGCTGCGGCCAAAGTTGTGTGGGATGACAGTGTAGAAGTGGGAGGACAGCTCCTCCAGGCTTTGGCCACCATCTGTGGGGGCTTTCAGGGCCACCTCCAATGCCTCCAAGGCCTCGAAGCCCCGTGCAATCTGCTGCTTGCTCAACTTTCCCAAGGGCATCTTCTTCACATCTGGGGAACAGGGGAGTGGGGAGACTCAGCCCTGAAACCCTGCAGCGCTGCCACCCTGGGGCCCCTGCCAACTTGCCCGTCAAACCTCACCCAGGTTCATGAGGGCCATGGCATTCTTGAACATCTCCTCGCTGAAGATGTTGGTGATGAGCTGCTGTGTGGCTGGGTCCAGGGAGCAGGGTCGCACTTGCTTAGCCACTGTCCTCACTGGGCCTCCATCCACCTGGGGATAGAGGGTACACATGGGCAGGAGTGGCTGGGCAGGGCACCCCCACTTGGAGCAGAACACAGCATTAGACAGAGATTGGCCAGACTGGGGAGGTCTGTGCCTGAGGTTGCAAAGATGGGTGCTGGCAGAGCCCATCTGGCTGGTCCTTCCAACCAGTCCCCTCCATCCTAGGGCCCACATACCCTCCCTGGCCACTTCACCTTCACCACAGCCTCCTGGGCATCGTCTTCTCCCTGCACTTCGATAAGTGTGTACTTGCCGGGGTGGGCCACGAAGTGGTCCCGCTCTGCCCAGTTGTTCTTGGTCTTTTCCTGAAATTTCTTCTCAAAGTCCTTCTTTGCATCTTCTAGCCGTGCGAAATGTTTGATCTTTGACTGGCCTGTCTCTCCCTGCAACCAACAGCCTTCAGGGGTGTGTCCACCACAGTACCCACCATAAACATTTGCTGGCCTCTGTGCGGGGCCAGGCCCTGTGCCGAGTGCCCCTGGACAGTTGGAGGTGAAGGAGGGGACAGTCAGCAACTGTGGCCTTCTGGGGACCCTGGGGAGCATGTGCTGAGCAGGAAGAGGTAGAGAGGAGGCGGGCACAGGTGGTCGGGGCACTCACCACGCGGCCCCAGCGGTTCCAGCAGAAGAGGCGGCTGCCCTCTTGCAGCAGCTGGATGATGTAGAACTTGTTGCTGTTGCTCTTGATGTCAGTCTGGTTCAGGGTGCAGTCGTAGTCTTCATGCACCTGGGCCAGAGTGGAGTGGGGCAGGCTGCTGGGGGTGGCCACTGGCTACACACTGACAGGGGTCTGTCTGATGGGGACAGGAGTCCAACTGCACTGGGGAGTCTTGGGAGGTTTGGGGGGGTCATGGTTCTGTCCTAGGGGATGTCGTCTGAGAGGACATAACTAAACCCTGGAATGGGGGTGGGGTGGGATTCTGGGAGGACACAGCTGTGCCCTGGGTGGGGGAATCTGAGGGGGATATGGCTCTGGCCTGAGAGGTTGGTTTGAGAGGACACAGGCTAGCCTTGAGGAGACTGAGAGAAGTAGAGTCCTTCCTTAAGTGTGGTGGAGGGAGGCCTGCCTAGGGTCTGAAGGCAGACATGACTTACCTGGACCTGATGGAACGGAGCCCTGACCTGACCTTTGGGGTCTTGGGAGAAGATGGCCTTGCTCTGGAACTTACTTGGGGGCCTTGAGCTACATAGCCAGAATTGAGCCCCAAATGGGAGAGGAACAGGTCTGGGTGTATTTGTGCTTATGAGGAAGCAGGCTCCAGGCCTGACTGGGGACTGCAGCTCACCTGGACCCCTGAGTTGTGGCTGAGTGGACATGCAGGGTCCACGCGGATTACGCGCTTCTCCGCAGGTGCAGCTCTGAGGGCCTCAGCGGTGGAGTGGAAGCTGTTCTCCTCCCCTGTTCCTCGCCGCCCCTTCTTCTCAGGGCCCCCAGTCTGCACCGAGGGCTTGCGCTTTGGAGCCATGGCTGTCCTGGGCACAGAGGGGGCCTTCAGGTCTCCATGGCCTCTGCACCTCACCTGGCCTGCACAGCACCAACCTGCCCCACCCTGGATTTGCCCTTTGGTGGTCTCCCACCATTTCTCCCTGCCTACATTGAACTCATTCCCAGCCCCAGACCCAAACCAGCTCTCTATACCCTAGTTACACCCCTTTCTCCAGTCACTAGTGCAAGGTCCACTCTGCCCACTCTGGGCAAGGAAGAGTCTGGCTGCCTATCCTCTCCCACTCTCAGTGTGTCCTGAGGTAATAGGAAAAGTGAAAGGAGAATCTCTTCCTTCCCACTCTGGCTCCTCCCGGTCAAGAATACTGTCTGGGTATGGCCTGCTCCTCCCACTGTCAGCTGGCTGGACCTGGCATGGTTACTGGGCTGACTCAGTGGAGCTATGGGGGAGGGTGGGCCACCGCTCCAGGGCCAGCACTCCTGGGGCCAGATCTATCCCTCCAGAGCTTGGGACTCAGTGGTACATACAGAAGCCCTTTCCAACAGACTCAAAAGCCCTGGGATGCCAGGGTGCCAGCCAGGGTTCCAGATCAGTGGTCTTGAGCTGCCAAAGGGCAGGGGCCATCCCACTCTATCCTGTCCTGCAGAGGGGCTGTGGGCAGGGCTATAGGACACTCACCTAAGAGAAGCAGTGACCTGGGAGAGGTGGCTGCCACTAGGCCTGGTATCAGGACCTCTGTGTGCCTCCCAGGGCAGTTCCAGGTCTGAAGCTCCCTCTAGCAACCCACTGTGAGCCTTAGGTGTGGTTTAGGGAGGGACTTCCCGATAATCGCCAGAGGCCGGTAAAGAGCTGGGGGGGGGGGGGGGGGGGGGG